AAATAGTTACATATAGTTTGCACTACAACTGCAGTAACACAAGAGGGGAGTGTTGCATTACTCACTTACATTACCAGCAATATGGATAGCAGTTAAGGAAAACAGTGTCCCTCATGAGTGAAGACTGTCCTGTTTTGCACATGCCTAATTCGCTTAACGTCTCCTCTTGTATGTTAAATGCGACATGCAGACTGACATGTTTTTAGTGCTGTTAATTAGCGGTTGTTTTCTTTTCTCTGCAGCTGTGCAGATCTGTGACGCAAAGGACAGAATCACATTAGAAATTACAATTAGTCATCCACCCATGTGGTACCGTGGCAGTCAACTGTCATTAATCTGTCATTAGTGATTAGCAGCAAGAGCTCCACTCCAGCTTACCACTTAACACTATCAGCCACCTGTAGCAATAATGAATCATCTTGAAAATTGTAACACAAGTAAATACAAACCTCTTGTCAGATGGTTGTGAGATATTTGCTCACAGCAGCGAGCCTTTAAAATAGGTATATGAAGGAAAGCTGGCTTCGTGCTGCAACACCAAAGCCAAGGACGAGGGGACTGCGGAAAGACGAGTTCATTAAATTATGGCTACACTGCAATTTATTGTTTTAAGTGACAGTTAAAAGAATATCTATTCACCAAGCCCCTGAAAACACATTCACTTATTTAAGCTCTCATGTCACATAGGAGGGTTTTTTCCTTCTTTTTTTTAAATCTTACAGCTTTTATCAGTAAATGGAACTGGCTCAGGTGTCATCATGCCAACCAAGTGTGGGACTTCAAAAAGAAACCTTTACTTTTATTCCATACACCACAAATATGCACTGACATAAAACTGTTTGCGCCTGCCAGTCTGCAGATACTACTACTACTACTAATAAGGGCAACTTCAATGATGTTTCACTGGAGAGGTAAAGTTATACATGATCTACACGGTGCTTCAAGACTTTTTATTTATAGAAGGAAAATGTTCTGATTACATTTAAACCTTCATTTTTTCAAAGTGTTACTGTTATCCAATATTGTCTATCGTAGCAAAAAGATTGAAAAAAACAAAAACAACTCACATTAAAATATTAATTTCCACATCCCAGCTGTTCCGTTGTTCCCTACCAACAAATTTCCCCTCTCTTTCTGCTCTCTGCCCCTCTCTGTTTTGCTAGGATCTCTTACTTCTTGCTTGTACAAGTTTCCGGATCATGGCCTAAGCGGCGGCTCTTGTGCATTAAGCCACGGTTTCTCTTCACTGCCCTCGGCCCTTCTTTCAACTGATGAGGCCCCAGGGGGCCCAAGCGGAGAGATAAAAAGTGACGGCCAAAGGAAGAGTATGCGGGACCCAGAGGACGCACCTGCCATGGATTCACCGCAGATACGAGAGTTGGAGATGTTTGCAAATGACTTCAAAATACGGAGGATTAAACTCGGTATGATTAATACAAATGTATCTCACTGTTCGGCTGCAGCGATGAGACGCTTCACCACAGATGGTTTTGTCTTTTTTTCCCACTCCTCTACTCCTCTGTGCTGCGTGTATTTTATAAAGTATTTCTGTTTCATTTTGACCCTCAGGGTACACTCAGACTAATGTAGGGGAGGCGCTCGCTGCCGTGCACGGTTCAGAGTTCAGCCAGACCACGATCTGCCGTTTTGAAAATTTGCAGCTGAGCTTTAAGAACGCCTGCAAACTCAAGGCCATTCTGGCTAAATGGCTTGATGAAGCTGAGCTGGCGGGTGGTGAGTCACACGTATCCACTCAACTCACAACCCTTTGAGAGTATTTATTTGAGGGTAACGTTTATCTATTCAGCAAGGTAAAATTTATCCTTCTGATTCAGTCTCTTTTAATGTCTCTTAAAAAAATATATTTGAAAGTAATGCTTTCTTGGGTGATTACTAAGATCTAATTAGTTGTGCCTCATCTTGGACAGTGTTTGCCAACACTTTTAGTCTTACATTCTTTTCAATGCTCATCACACGATGCATACATCAGATAGATTTTTTAGTCTCACATTTTTTCTGATTACTTAGGTGTAAAGAGCTACGACTTTCCAGATGACAACAAAGAAAAAGAATTTCAAATAAACAGATGCACCGTGTGTGTCAAAGAAGTGTTTTCCTGTCATATCAGTGGCCTCCTCAACATCAGATTTATTTTATGATCACCCAAGCCCCAGGCTGGGGGTGAGAACGGTCTGAGAAATTGTTGATTAGTCTTAAACATACAGCCATGACATGATTCCCAAGGTCGTATAATAATATTTGATGTGGTGACACGCTAAATCAGTCTAGGGAAAGTTATGGGTTACACTAGCAATCAGCCAGAAACATGTATCCTTATGTCCTTACAGAACCTATTCATTTCTTGCAGCTTTGTACAATGACAAAATAGGAATGAATGAGCGGAAGAGAAAAAGGAGAACAACTATCAGGTGTGTACTGTAAAGATCAAACGTACAAAATATGCCATTTACCAAGTGAACTCATAATCTTTTTTTTTTTTAATTCCCCCTCTCCCTTGTTTCACTCTGTAGCCTTGGAGCTAAGGAGGCCCTTGAGCGCAGCTTTGTGGAGAAAAGTAAGCCATCCTCTCAGGAAATAGCCCGGATAGCCAAAGGCCTCCATCTGGAGAAGGAAGTGGTCAGAGTTTGGTTCTGCAACCGACGCCAAAGGGAAAAACGTGTTAAAACCAGCCTTAACCTAAGCTCTTGTTTGACCAAAATCGGTCCGAACTGCATAGCACAGATGAGTAAAACGCAAAGAGCAATGACATAATTCGAGGTTCGATGAGCGTGTCTGTGAGGGAGGCTCGTTTGTGACCGTGGTTAAAAATGTGCTCTTTTCAAATCTGACATGTCCAATAGCAATTATTCCAAATGCCACAGGAGAATTTTACCCTGCTGAAAACAGATAAAGCTTCTTTTGCCCAGCTGCTTCACTGACTTAATACTGACAAGAGAATTTATATAAGACCAAGTTTGCCCTAAAAAGTTTATCTTTGTCTGTTGTCTTTGCACAGATATGTCTCTCTGTTAGATTTTCCGAATGTAATATATAAATGTCTGTTTTTTATTTAAAATTGCAATTTTAAAGAAGAGACAAAAATGTCAAAGAGCAGCCCGGCCATTATTTCCTTGTTGTTTGAAGTTAAAACTGTGAAGATAAAAGGTTTTCAATAACTGCATATGAACTGCTGGCTTGATGCTGCACCTGCCAGTCTTGACATTTAAATGTACTGAATATTGGCTGTGCCTTGTTTGCTCTACAACTGCTGAAAATATATTAACCACACAAACCAAATCTCATTTAATACATCAGCATCAGAGTGCAGACAAGTGCTCATAAAGATCAGCTCTGTACCTTTCTCAAAGAAAGCAATACCATTATTGATTTTGACCTTTTTTTCCCTACAAAAAGAAGTTTTATTGTTGATGAAATGAAGTGTTCTACATTTACATCTATATTTAACCACAGAACTCCCTGTTGTAGTTGTGTTTATGTATTTTTTGTAAAAGCTGGTGCCTTTATGTCCCTGTTTTTTATTAGCTGTCAGTCTTAAGAAAAATGCTTTAGCCAAATGAATGTAGTTGCAGTCAAAACAGTAATATATTTTAAAACTTTACAGCAACCTATTTATTTGAGAGCTAATTTATTATGTCAGGCTACTTTACTGTGCACAACCTTTGTGATTTATGGGATGAAGCCAGGGACATGGGAAACTTTTTGACAGCAAATGGATATGCGGTCTTCTGTTTCCCTGATGTAAGATAGATGTTGATGTTTTTGCTTTTGTCGTTGCTGCCTTGATAAAGTGTCATACAAAGAAGAACATCAGCCAGTCACAACTCTGACCTGGTTGAGGTGACTGATGTGAAAGAAACGGAAACGCCACGCCTTTCTTAAGAAGAAGAAAGCACCTAAAAGTATCAGGATGTTTTTATTCTTTTAAATTTACATCAGAAGCCAGTAATTATTGTAAAAAAAAAAACTAGAAAATGTGATATAGGACTGGCAACGGACTGATTTAAAGGGTGTTTATTATACTGAAAATATAAAAATATGGCAAATATCTGCCCTTTTCTTTATCAAATTGCTCCTTTCAGTTCCCAGGCACTCAAAGCTCGGTCAGTTCACTGCATATGTAGCAAGCAGTAACCCGCGCTTCATAACTACAGTATAAGTGCCGTCTCTCATTTTTACTGTAGTACTACATATATTACGTTGTGAATGTCTCACTGGAGAATCATAAATAAACATACAAGACACTTAAATTCAGAAATGAGTGGTTTTTACTGTGACTAATGTAAGGCCGTATAACGGGAGCGCTGCCAGGGGAAATAAATGCTGCAGAGTCACACCGACTTCTGTTACTCCTCTGAATGTCTACACAGCAAAGTTACAGGCACGGCATGTTTACTATAAAACTACTAAGAAGCTTCTAAAGGCAGTCGTCCAGATGCATTTAGCCTTAAAGTTTTTCTCATATCTACTCCTTTTCCCTCCACAGTTCATGTATTCAGAGAGCTGAATGGGTACCACGTAATTTTTATATAAGTAAATCCATAAACGTGGCTAAAATATATGCACGTGTTATGTGTCGGTGTTTGCTCTTCTGCTTGATATTCTATTCAACTCTTCATCAGATGGATCATTTAACAGACTCAAAATCCAAAAGACTCCAAAATAATAAGTTACTTTTCACTTTTCATGCACTTATATTGCAATACCATGCACTTTTTTCTTTTCTTTTTTTTTTTTTTAAACTGTTCTGTGGTTTGGGGGGGAGGGGGGGTTAAAAAAAAAGAATTTCAGCAAACTATTGTCTGAGTCTGTCATTTATATGGAAATGAATGGAAACTGATGTCTGTCTTTAAAGACAGTATAAAAGATATATACCTCTTTGTGTCGCTCGGTTTGAAGCGAAGCCTTAAAAAACCTTGAATACAACTTTAATGAAAAAGAAGGGGGGGAGGGATAAAGTGGAGACTGAAAATGAAAAAAGATCCGATCATACCTGAGGAAACTTTATTCCTTATAAAAGCCATACACCCTTTACACTTTACAATAAGAAGGAAACAAAAGTGAGTATACATACACCTTTAAAAATGCATGGTAATATCCTATTGTAGAACGGCACTCAAAAAATGTCTGTTAACTGATTCTGTTCTCAATCACAACAGATTGGTGTAAGGTTGAGGAACAATTTTTTTTTGCAAAAATTCAAAGAATTATGACTTGTAGATTTCCGACATACGCAAGGATGAATCTTATTCGGTTTATTTTGGCAAAGGGAGTCTAAACGAGGGGGCACAAACAAAGAAAACGTTAAGGAGATATGGCTGTCACTGTCACGAAGCCTGGAACGGCTGACGCTGACAAATCACTGTAAAGAAAAACCTGCTTCAGCTGGAGAAGAGAAGAAATCTCCTCAATCACAGTGTTATATTAGCAAACGTTTCCATCATTTCGTTCCTTTAGTGTGTGTGTTTCTGTGAGTGAGGCAGCTTTTTAAAAAAAAACCAACCAAAAAAACCAAAAAATAAACACATGACAGCAACTGCACAGCAGCTGCAGAGTAGAGGGACTGCAGGATCAGTACCACCTTACGATCTCTGTGTAAATCAAACATCTCCCAGAAGCCTCTGGCTTTAATTATGGATTTAAATCTCTTTGACATGCCAGTCTTTCATTAGCCCTAAATTGTGTTTTTAATCTCAACTTTATTTAATTTTATAATCTGTACAGTATTACAAAAATGCTAGCCAGTTTGCTCTCGGATCAATTTTTCTTTTCATTTCATGCACGTAAATTGAAAGCCTGACCCCAGCTCGAAGATATTAGTTACGTGTTTCACATGCATATGTCTGTCTGCAGTACCTATGGTGGCAAACCTAAAAAATCTTGGTAATGATTTAGCTAGTTAGCATGATTAAGTGTCTGTCTTATCTCCAATATCTCAGGATGAGAAAGAAATCAAACAGAGGCATTTTATCCATAAAACGTTGCAAATTTGACAAAAGAATTCCTTAAAAGGGAAAGTTTGCCTCAGAGAAAGTGGATTAAATTGGTTTTAATTTTACCAATGGCAACAAAGATAGCACATAAATAGTCTGAGTTGGGAAAAAATACAAGTTCCATCTGCTTATTGACATCCCCAAAACTGCTTTTTAATTACCATGTTTTATTCATTAAAACTTCCTGAAGAAAGACCATCCTTCTTCAAATGTATAAAAGCAGACCGAGATTATAGGACTAATTCAAGATTGACCAAAACACCAGAAGGGAAAAGCCAATTCCAAGATCTCATACACTTGTAGCCCTTATAAAGACAGATGGGTGGTAAACAACAGTGTAATCAGTTTTTCAGGTGAAACATCAACTGCTGGTCCACCTTTGAGATGTGGCGTCTCCGATGTTGTAATAAATATTATTTTCACATAAATAGATCACGTTCTGCCATAATGATCTCTAAGGCGAATGTGACAATATGTATGTGTTAATAAACGTGTGTGTGTGTGTGTGTGTGTGTGTGTGTGTAAGTGTGTGTGTGTGTAAGTGTGTACGCTCGAACCATGACAAAACCAGTGTTTCTAACAATTGGAACATTAATACGAAGACGAAACCTAGTCGACTCCCAGAGCTCGGAGCTGTCTTTCAATCTCGTCGTCAGAGATGGTGGCTTTGGAGGAGGCAGCAGCACCGGGGACACTTTTTCCTGCAGCTGGAGCTTTCACCATCTGGAATCACACATGGGTAGAAAACCCCATTAGCAGCCACATCAGCTTCAAAATACACACGTTCAATCGCAGAGCTGCTACTTGTTTCGAGACCGGCTACGATGTACAGCTGCTTGCTGACACTCAAAAACAAAACAAAACCAAAAAAAACAAAACCCCAAACTGTTCAAACTGAGTCACAATTTTGTCAATTAACTGTAAAGTTTACTTTACATAAAAAGTACAGTTGTTTGGGTTTGTTAATGATCAATTACTGCATCCTATAAAAGGTGCTGAAACAATCTGGTACTCGACACCAAAAGGCATGATTCATTTTATGCCGGTTAGTTTTTATTTGCAGAAAAAAAACTGAAACTATTTAGAGCATTTGTTAGCTTCCCAGCTGACTACTTACTGTCAGTAGACACAGAATTATCCCAGTAACAATAGAAGTAACATATGGATGATTATTTTATTATGGTAGATTTTCCAAACTACCGTCGTTTGTGAATCTTGTTATTTTATGAAGCCGTTGGATTGCTTTTATTTTTTAAAGAGCATCCTGTGTGTCTCTTCCCCTCCCAAAACCTCCCCACAAAAACAAAACAAAAACCCCACCCAAAAACACCTGAGAAAGTCTGATGAGCTTTTTTTTTTTTTAAAAAACTGCCTCTCCTGCTGGGGGCTTTTTTGGGAGATTTGTCAGTTTGTGCATTGTTTTGTGTGAGGTAATAACTCATGCAGCACCCCAGGGGGAGCCAGACACACAGCAGACGGACAGCCTGGCAGTTACAAAGAAGGAAAAAAAAAGGAACAGAGCTAGAAGAGCTGAGGGCTAGCCCCACCATGTGGCAGCTGGAATACATTTTAAAAGCAGAATAAAAGCCATGTGGACCATTTATTGTTCATCTTGCTAGGGGCTGTGTGCTCCATTAAGTGCATCTACATCTGAAAATGTGCAGTTAAATCTGAGACTAAATGGTAAAATGTTAAGATTGTTTTTTCTACTTGGGCATTATACACTATTGTGATGTCTATAAAGTTGAGGTATGTAGGAGAGATGTGGTTTGTCTTGTTCTCTTTTTGAATTTCTTACCTTCCCTGAGATCTCAATGCCAATCTCATCCAGAACTTGGTTGACAATGTCCTGAGATTCCTCTTCATCTCCAGATTCTTCAAAGATCTCATCCAAAGTGTCGTTGACTGAACAGATAGTGAGACAGGAAGGAAGAAGATAAGGACAGAAAAGTCAGTCAAATTGATTTCCAGTCACAAGTTTGGACTTTAGAGCAAGACGGCTGCTGCATACAAAAAAAACAAACAAAAAAAACAAACGTCAGTGTTTCTTCTGAAAAACATCCCACAAACATATTTTGCCTTTGCTGCATATTTTGCAGCACACATCACTTCTCACACTATTCCCATATATCTTCCCAAACTTGTTTTGCCAAGTGCATTGTGTTCTTACTCATATCCTCTGTCATGCCCATCTTCATGTTCTCCTTCTGGAAGTCCTGCATGGTTTTCAGTGTCTTCTGTGGATCCATTTTTTTATTCACTGCTTGCATTGTCTGCAAACATTTAAGGAACGTATGAGAATCTATCTTTTTAGGTGCTACTGCCAAGAAATAACACTCTTCACGATGTAGAAACCTCTAATTATGCTCAACATGTTAGGATGAACTTTAGTTGCACAAACTATTTGAGATAATTTACCTTTTAAACTTTGTACATTTCACAAAATATTCGATCCTCAACCTCAAGTAAATTTGCTTTGAATTCATTTATCATCGCAGAATTATTCAAGTCCTAAAGACAGACCAACTTCCTGTGAAAGATCAGCACAAACATGGCCTACTTTCAGACCCACGTCTGACACAATACCTGATACATCAACGTCTTGACTGACAAGCTTCTCAAAATCATGCAAATCTAAAACTCAGGAGAAAGGTGATGGAGAATGCTTCACTTTCTACTGAAGACACATCAAAGCTGCAACTTTCCTGTGTGCGTCTGTGTCTAAACAAAATGTGTATCTGACAGAATATAATTAACACATTCTTTGTGACATAGCCACAGCCTCACGTAAACTTGAACACACGCCATTAATTTAAAGCCTAATTATATTTGACCTGTCTATGTTTGCTCAGTGTGACTCTGAACAGTACATCGCTCCTGGCCAATTAGTACCTCTCATACTTCATTAACAACAGTGCTACAAGGCTCGGGTTTTAAACATGAACCCCACATTAATACTTTAATTGCCACACTAGAATATTAATGTGTGTACACACTGAACTTAGCTTGTGTGGAAAACAAATTTAACTTTTCCATTAGATAGCAACACATTGTTCATACAGACTGTCTAACGGCAATGGCACATAAAGTATGTTGAAGTAGGGACTTGTTCACTTTGTATATGCTGCACTGTATCCATATTTCTAATTCAAAATGAGCTGTACTGATTGACAGGGTTTAGCATTTTACCTTGGCTGAGGTAGACATGGCACTGGCCATCTTCATTTGGGAGTTCATGAGCTTTGTCTGCGTAGACATGGAGGTGACCTTGGAGCTGACAGCGTACGTCCGGGTCTTCTGCTTCCTCAGCTGAACTAATTGCTTGGCGAGAATCTTACAAGCCTCCCTGTTACCGCTCTTTGCCATTTTCTTGATCTCTGCTTCCTGGAGAAGGAAAGAAGAATACGATATGACTCCTCACCTCTGTCTTTTTTTTTTTTTTGGAGTGTGTGTATGCATGGTCAATGTGCAAATTTACCAAGCGTGAGTATAGACATAACATAAAAGAAAATTCTAAGAACTGGCAGAAAACAGGGAATCAAAAATTCTCATTAAGATATACTGTCCACATCTGGAACCAATTGATTGAGGCTGCTGAAATGCACCATTGTCTCCTGGTTATCTGCCTAATATTGTAAATAAGCATTATATTTAGAGTTGATGTGCTTGTGTTTGCCCATATAAATTGAGTAAAATTGAGCGTTTAGGGATGGCCTTTCTAAAACAACATGCTGCAGATTAGCTGAAGCCAGGAAACTACTTTGTTTTGAGAAATGTCAATTAATGCCACTGATTTCCCGACACCTTCAACACCACAGCCAGCCCGAGGTTCAGGAAAATGAAAATACGGGGAAGATTCCTCACAGAAACACATTGATAATGCACTAAATAAAACACTTTATTGGACTTTAGGGATACTCTTTATATTAAAAATATATATTTATGCATAAAACAAATACATCCACCGAGTCCCAAAGAAACCATTGTGTTTGTAAACACAAATTTGTAAACACAATCATCCAGATCAGTTGTTACTCATATACACTTTTAGCTTCAGTACACAGCCAAAAATACTCCGAGCCCCACGGGGATCCTGTGTGTGGGCACGATTCCCGAGAGACAACGGAGAAGCTCCAGGTTACGATGAGCCAGCCAATATGTCTTTTATTTATCGTACATGTGCTGAAAGCATTCTCTTCAGGAAATTACAATCAATTATTAATGTTTGATAAAGCTAAAGGCTTTCCTCGCTCAGCTCTATGCATCTGTGCCTTTCTCTAATGCAGACACACATTCAGCAAGTCATTTGAGTTCAACCTGTATCTCCCTGCTTGTAAACAATTCAAATAATGCCATGGGGGAAAAAGAGCAGACCTAGTTCAAAAAAAAGGCAATAATATTGTCAGCTGCAGTGTTATCTGAAAGAAAAAAGGAAGACTAAGAATGCATTAACGGGGGAAAGAGAGACGAGTACGACGAACTGATGCTGACGGGAAGCTTATAATGTCTTATTTACTGGCCTGTCAGGGTAGGGTGGAGGAGGTGGGGCTGTGATGGATAGATAGTGCAGGAACAACCGTGAGGCTGTTGGGCTTTGCATGCTAGCAAATGGGAACCTTAATGCATTAACAAGGCCCAGTGCTGAAGATTTTTCTGAACAACAGATGCACAGTGTGCTGCTAAAGGAGCCTCAATCCAGCTGTTAGTAACATTTCAGGCAGCCAAATGCTGTGCAGCACAAATATTTTAAAAATAAAAAAGATTCTATATTATTTAGACTTTTGAACTCTTTTACAAACTCCCAAATAATTTATTGAGAAAATGAAACGCTTAACTTTTATAAGTACTTTGATCTTTGGGGGATAATCTCTGCCCTGTGCCATCTGCATCCAGTGAGCACATACATGGATGTGTGTGCATGCACTGGTACTGCGAGCCAGCACACTGGGAGGCAGCCATGATCGTGCTAAAAAAATTTTTTTTAAAAATGCAGATATGGGTCATTTCCATTTTTGTGTCTTAATCTTTTATTCAGAATCTGCAACAAAGCTTTTAAAACGAGACTAATTAACGGAAGACATTAATGTAGAATAAGAATGTTCGTTCCCCAGGGAGGTAATTATGTCCTGTATGATATTTACTTAACACAACTGAGGAGAGGACACAGTCAGGTTCTTTCATCTTCTAGATTATGTGCGACGATGAATGTAGCCTAATTGTTTAACTCTGTGAGAGTGTATGAGAGATAGGCTCACTTGCCTGAGGCAGAGCCACCTCACCAAATCGCTTGTCTATTCATTTAGCCCCATTAGCCAATCAGGCACAATCATAGAAAGACAATCTAATATGCATCTGGGGCTGGGATTGTGTCTGTTAGGGAATCAGAGGGTCCTAAAAGGGCTTTGATGCAATATGTAGAAATCTACAAAAAAAAAAAAAATGCTATGAATGCACATACTTTTGTTCCTCATAACTTTTATATTTAAATTGTCTGCATGCTTCCTACCATTTGTTTTTCTTGTTTCTCCAGCGCTGTTCTGTCTCTGGTGATCTGCCTCTGTGTGCCGCGCAGCTCCTTGTTCTGCTCCTTGATTATATCTTCAGAAAAGAATTAGAAAGGTTTGAGAGAGCGAGAATTTTGGTGATGGTACAACACCCCACAAGCCTTTGACTTACCAAAATGAAAAGAAAAAAAAATGTCTGATAAATTGGATGAAACATATACAGTATATCGTGTTTTTCTACTCTTATTAAGCACTCATTTTAAGCCTTTTTTATGCAATTGGGTGCTTTTTACTCATAACCTACACACTTTTGATGCACTCGTAGCAATTTGGGGTTCAGTACCTTGCCCTAAGGATGCAAGATATGCAAACTAGAGCAGCTGTGGCTCAAACCACTGAACTTCCAATGTAAACGTACCCTCTCTGACTGACTATCAATATGTGTGATTTTACAACGATCTTTGTTCAACAAAAAATTTAAGACAAGCATATTTTCGTTCTAAAAAAAAAAAATCAATTTATATTCACCTATGCCCTCAGTATGTGTCATGTGTGGTATCTTTTTTGTCTTTCTGTTCAACATCAACGCTGTTGGAGCATTAGAAAGGATGGTTCCCGAGCAGCTGCCAAATATTGGAAGAAATCTCAAACATCCAGCCACTGCCTCAATAGTAATCATGTTTGACTCTGTGCCCAGACGCATGTGAAATATCTCAGAGCAGTCAGTAACACACTGAGAGCATGCTGACACTGCCAACTGTGGAAATGTTTGGACAGCTCATGCCAATACAGTGTCAGCTCTATACCACCCACACAAACACAAAGTGGCATCATGTGACATAATTTATGACTATGAAGTCAGGCAGTAATCTGTGTGACTGAGGGATGACCCAGTTAATCAGTGTAACAGTAACCTTACTTCAAGACTTAAATATAGTTTTGAGATTTATTCCAAAATTTGGCATTTTTCTGTTATTAAAACGCAGGAACTTTTTAGTAATTCTAAAACTAAATAAATCCTTAAGAATAGAAAAATGAGAATCAAGAATAAATAGAGGAATGAATAAATGAATCAAAGAATTCTCATTCAGTCGTATTCATATAGCTCAAAATTACAAACTTGCCTCAAAGGGCTTTGAACTAGTTTCTATTTTTAGAGTTCAAGCCTCAATGAGGCTTCAATGAGGAAAAACTAAAAGAAAAACAAACAAAAAAAACTCTGAAAAAACAGCAAAGGGTGGATCCCTTATCCAGGAAAGACAGATGTGCACCGGATTCATTTATTCATTAAATAAATGAATGAATGAATGAATTATAAAAAACTCAACAACAAAAAAAGAAAAAACTTGTAAATAGCTAACTCTATATTCATGAGCTATTATATAATAGGAAATGCCCTACTTTGCGAAGAAAAAAAAAATTGACCACTTTCAGAAAAACAAAAAAACAAAAACCTTATTCTTGCTGAAAAGTTCAACACCCACAAACTTGATCGAGATACGTCAATATGCTGGACCACTTAAGAGAACGATGCTTGTATACGTATAAGGTGACGTGCCGCCAACGTCTCAAAGAGGGAGGGATATCGTCCTACAAATATGGATGATCAACCCACCCCCCCTTTACTAAATTTGCCAAATAACCAGAAACTACGACCCACATCCAAACCCAGGGCATCAACGAGAAACCTGTGTCCAGAGCACAAGAGATGTCAAACAAAAAGAAAAGAAAGAAATGTACTGGATGGGGGACGGCTGAGAAGACCTGACAGCGCCTTGAAATGGAGTGGAGGCAGGAGAGCACTGTGAGTACAGTATGCAGATGATCGGTATGGGTGAAACTAGAATGACAACGATGGGAGGAGTAAACAGGGAGTGCTCTGAAAAGATTTGCCTTAACCGGTAGAGTCTATTTTTAAACCCAAAGATACAAAGTTGATCATTTTTTCTTTGTAATTCTCCACAAGAATAAGTTTCAGGTCCAAAGAGCTGAGGTACGGTCAGCCTTTTCTCTTGAAATCCAGCCCTAGGAGTTAATATAATTAGTATCTGAGAGTGAATAATTGATTCATTAATTTTGATGTAAGTTTGACTGATTTTCCATTCTGACCTTCTGAGGTGGTTGCCTAGCCTGGGGGGAAAATACTCACTTTTTTAGACTGAAAGGCTATTCAGAATTTTGACATTTTTTTGTAACTGAATATAGCCCACTTTAAATGACTTAACTTCATATGGTAACAGCCTCACTTTCCATTGTACAATTTTATTGCACTCTTTGTCACAAAACTGACGTCATTTTAGTCACAGCACAATGAGGCATTAGTTTCAGTCTGTGTGTAGGATACAAACTGACAGTAAGTTAACCAAATTAAAGTTTATAAATAAATACAACACACGCAAAGTAATCATACAGGGAAAAATATCATGTACACTTAATTTTACGGCTTATGTTTGCCGTTTCTAAGTCATTGGAAACCATGGTGTAACGGAGTGTATACACAGACCTTTCCACAGCCTGTAACTAACGATTACAGGTGACGTTCAAAGGAAAGAAACCAAGAGGATACTTGTAACAATTAACACCGCATTTTTTTTTTTCTTTAAAGGTTACATTGTAAAACAGCTACATATATACATTAAGTTTAGCAGCGCGTCGAGGGCAGCAGTGTGACTCAGCTCGACTCAGAACAGGTAAAACAAGTTAAATTGGGACGTCTCATCTAACACGGGAACAACAGAACAAGCTGTACGGCCAACCGGGCTAAAAACAAGTTAGCTAGCTTTTCACCCTGAGCAAACTTACCGTCGACAGTCTTCTTCTTGAACAGGGAAGCCATGTTGCTGCTGTGTATCAAACCTAATTACAAAATATAAATCCTGTACTAATGTGTTGTGTAATGCCTGTTGTTAACGCCGCCGTTTATCCGTCAGACCGAGACGGTGGATCAGTTTGGCAGCCTCTGTTTCCTGGTTGATTTTCTGTTGTCGAAGTTCCTCCCTCAGCTGACATGACTCAAAGGCTCCACGTGACGTCACGGCGGGACTCTCGCGTTGCATTCACTTGTGCTACGTAAAATAGCCTTTCGTAATCTTGAATAAAAACTAGTAAATTAAAATTGAGTCTGGAACTCAAATATTAGAAATATGGGCGCCTCGGTGTAATAGGAATAGCATCGCGGATGTGCACAGCAGGTCCATTACTGTCGGACTCTCACTGCCTCTGCACTGTCAGCTTAAAAAAAATCCACACTGTTTTTGTTGCATAAACGTCTCTGGTTGTAGGATTTTAAACACGGTGAATGCTGTGTTTTATCCTAGCCTTCAATCTGTCCTATTAAAACTAAAAAATGGTGAGTAAAGTTTAAATAAAATTACATTTATTTTGGTGCAATGATAAGCCTAAGCTAGCAAATCAGGGGACTGCATCCTCGAATGCAGGGGTTTTACTTTTTATCTGATTTTATTTTTTGCACTTCCTTTCATGCTTTTCAGTTATACATATACACTAAATATAAACTACTCAAAAAACCAAAACATACAAATGTGTAAACTACTACAGGGAAACAATCCTCAGAGTTGATTTCTGTCTATAACATCAACCCCACTGCTTAAAACACTGCATCATAAATTCTGTTCTCAATTTCATTCCTCTCCTCTTTATCCCCAGAAGACTAGTATCGCATACTCTCCTGTTTGTATTCATATATTCGTATTGTCTTATATCATATTAATGTTGAGACCAACTTTATGTAGGGTGGCGGGACTCTTGAACCATAACCAACTCAATTTTGTTCAGTGTCAGTACATAGGAGGGCAGCGATACGGAGTGGAGGAGAAGACATAAGGTGGGAGGGGGTCTCATCCCAGAAATAGCAAGGGATGCCAAATGATGGCTGGAGCAGAGGAGAGACCGGTGACTTTGAGGAAAAGAAGAGGAGGATGGGTAACCCTTAGCTCTTTTTTTTTAATCTCAGCGGAGGTGTGGATGTGTATCTGTGCATGTGCACAGTTGCCTGTGTGCATCGGCATGTGGTCCTGAGGCGTTGTTCTTGTTAGGTTATTAGGGAAGATGTTTGGCGCTAATCAGCAGAGGACTACAGGGACCCCACTAAACGGCCTCATCATCAGAGGGCCCCAGTGGTGATAAATCTAGCTCCAAGCACCCAGAGGGCCGACTTTTACTAAGTCTGCATCTGTCTCCAGCTTTGTAGCTACAAACGAGTTGAATGCACCATAACTCAATATTTAGGGATCAAATTTGCAATTTTTTTCTATCTCTGATGTTGCTGTTTTGGCAATTAATTTCAAGTTAATTGTAACTAATTACCATCACTGTAATTAGTTACAATAAATTTGAAATTGAGCTTATTGTGATGAGACTGGATTGCATAGAAATATGGCTTAATATAGCTGCAAAGCAAAGATTTTCAGTACTAATAATTAAAAATCACACTAAATTAACAAAAAAAAGTCAAAAGATTTCTGTCCACAAGTAGTTCATGCTTGTGCAACATATTCGACATACAGAAGTGCATTTAATTATGATTTAAAATAGAATTAAGCATGAAAAAAAGTGTGGGGAAAAAGGCCTCTCTCTTCTTTTTCATTTTCAGTGGTTTCCTGCACCACTTTCTCCCCTACATTTTCATTTATCTGTCTATCCCATTCCCTTCCTTCACTGTGTGATGTAGCCCAGGGCGAGCAGAAGTGTAATGTTAAGGCACTAACTACGGAGTGTATGGACACACACACAGCAGAGAGAGACGTTCATGTGTGAAATGAGATCTCAGCACAATCAGTGGGAGTCGTAGCCATAAAGCACATCAAGCCTTACAGCTTTAAGGTAGCAACATGGAAAAAATCGCACAAATCCCTTCATGGGGTGATTGTGAAGCTGTTGCAGTCTAGTAACAACTGTGTGTGGGGTTTTTATGTCTTCTCTTCACAGATAAACCCAAGAAGTCATGAAGCCGAGCGTGCCTCAACAAACCCCAAATGTTGCCGCGATTCAATCGACCTTTTTAGTCTTGCAGCCTGTGATTTAGCCACACGTTACAAAATCTTTAAACAGTTATTAATTTCAACTTTATTTTAGCTTAGAAAAATTACACAGTGACTTATTAGTAATCATAGTCACCAGCTGTATATCCTGCACAACAAGGCAGATAGTTCTGGCTCAGAAATATCTCATTTTTACAATAGAGCACTATAATCTATCAAATACACCAGCAGAACAATGATTTTGTTTAATGCTGTGTCATTTGCAATAGATTGTCACCAAATCTCCCACAGGACTCCAGAATCTATGCATCTCATTCTCCTATTTGCCAAGCATAAATCTTGAATCACTGTAGGATATAAGACGTGATTATACTCTGTATTCTTCTATAAACCCCTGACATCTAACTACAAGCTGAAATATGTTTGTATGCAAATAAAGAAAATCAAGGGGCTATGATGGGTGAGGTGGGATTTCCACAGCTCTTCTTCACTCTTATGGATGGATCAGTGATACCCAGATGGATGGAGAGAACGACCGACAGAGAAAGAGAGAAAAGGGCACAGACACAGGAGGAGAATGTGTGGCAAAATCAAGGGATTAGCACAGCAGGTGATCAGTGATGATGTTTGAACTGCCATTCCGAAACATTTTAAACCCCTAAAACAAAAGTGTACAAATCTGGGTCAAATCTCAATACATGCAACAAATACACACATATATGTATAAATATGTGTCTTTAAGCTACACACAAACAATTTCTCTCTAAAAAAACTAATAAATAAATAACGACATAATTCATGCAGCCCAAGCTTCAGATACACTAGCTATGCACAGAGGATTTTATTTTTTAAAGAACCTTCTTAGGGAAATAGGAATGCAATTGAAGCTGTATCCTTTGGTCATAGAAACACTGATTAGCATCACCACTTGAGTAGAGTGTGTAACCACCACTGGTACAAAAAAAATCAGATTTTATGAATCAGCGACTTGAAAAATGAAGATAACAATGAGTTTGTTTGTTTTTTTTAAAAAACTGTTCCTCTAATGTCCACATGAGGCTATATGGTCCCATTTTATAATACCAGACTTTATAAATAAACATGTTTATCCTGTGATACATAAATGGTTTTGGCTGTCTTTTTCTCACAACTTTACAGGCAGAGATTTTTCAATAACTCGCCCTTTTATAATAAGGGTTAAAGTTGCATTGGGCAAGGTGACTTTCTGTAATGTGTGTATCGACAAGGCCACAAGTTGATGACATACCCTAAGCTAATTTCATTCACTGAACTAGATATTGTGTCTTTAGCGTTGGTTCTTTGCGGAGCATTTTTTATCAATTATCTTACAAAAAAATATGGTTTACTTTGTAAATTGTACCAGAAGGCTGCCCAGATGTGGGGAGTGAGTTTCTGTATGCATTTGTATGCTAACACTGATTTGCAGGTAGCATCAGAATGCACACTGATAGTCACACTTACTAAAACTGCCTCATAACTTTCTAATTGAAATATTATAGTTCTAGCTCAATAAAAACAAAGGTACCAACGTTAATGCTAAATTCAGGGTTTTAAGATCGGAGGATATCATAAATGTGTAGACCTTTTCTTGGGTTTGAGTTTGGATGTGAGTGTGCAGACAAAAGATCTTCCATAACCCTTCATAAAATAAAGAGTTGTTCATTTTCTGTAGTTTTTCTACCCATTAAAATTAAAAGAAAATTTATAAACCTATTAGTAAGTTTAAAGGTGCTTCTGTAGGCTTATTTCATCACAGTGAGAGCCACACTAGATGTCTAGAAGTTTCATGTTTCCAGTCTTTATGCTGTACTCAGCAAGACTGCAGGTTCGAGTTGAGCACATGTAAGAGAGGCATTGATTTTCTTATCTAACTCTGCAAGAACACAAATGAATGCTAAAGTTAAAACTGTCAAACTCTTCAAAGTAAGAGTTCCAGATGACACACTTTAAAGACAAACTTTTAAGATAAGTATTTAATAAGATATTTCCATCCAGTTCCCAAAAAAAGTGCGAAGCCGGCAAGGGACTAAGAACATATGGAAGACAGCAGGTGACTGAGAGAGTGCGAGACAGAGTGATGATAGGAAGGAGTGGAGCAGGGTGGTAACAGCAGGGGAGGCAGAGGGCAGGGGAGTTTGGAATGGTCTAATAAATCGAGTGAGTGACTCCACTCGCTTTTGCCTGTGGGACAAATCTAGTCGCGCTCACCAGCGCATCGTAGCATCAGGGAATTCTGGGTAATGAGAGATTATTTTCCCCTGTCGTGTGTGCTCATCATCATTGCCTGCCCCGACCTCCCCAGCCTCCCAGGAAGCACGCCTACACATATGCACACATACACCACATCATACAAGCTGGAAGAAACAACACTAAGATGCAGGTGTGGAGCTGCATGATGTACATGATTTATGATGTATAAAAATCAATGAAAGGGATACATAGATATACACACAAACAGACACACACACATAAGAAGACATCTCACAGGCTGCTGGTTTTGTGAGTAAGGTCAAACAGTGAGGTGTTATTGTTTAAATCTGCTGCTGGCACCAATTTTAGATGTCACACTTAGTGAGACACACACATACACACAATTCAGTCAAACCCTCTTTTATCCACAGGTCCTTTTTGCCTGGGGATGCCAATCTGTCTGAGGGTACGCTCTACATGCATCAAACCAGAACCATCTTTTGCCCTTCCTCTCTTTTTCTCTCTGTCTCTCTCGTCTGTCTCTCCAGTCCACGGGCCTTCTTGCCTTAGGGCCAAGCTGTGACCACAAGAAGTGGGCTGGTGGTCCCAGCAGGAGCTGAGGCTCAGACCCACCATTAGCATGAGGGAATTAGAGTCATTACAGCTGGAAGGGCAATGGAGGACAAGTTCTTCGCTCTGCAAAAGGAGGGAGGAAATTTGTAAAGTTATGCAAAGGAGGTATCAGACAAAATGAGAGAGTTTATGGAACAGATAGCTGAGAAAGGTGTTGTATGTATTGATGCAGTTTGCAT